TATGATAATGTTGAGTGAAATCTTAAAAAATTACGATTTAAAAGAGCTTATAATGAAATCTATTTGAATGAATAAAAAATATTTCTACTCTATTCTAAATTAAATAATAAATATAGAATTAAATAATGAATAAGATAAATAAGGCTGTTTTTTAGTGATTTTAAAACGAAAACATCTGTTAAATCAATACTTAAATATTTAACAAAGTAATCAGTAAAAAACATTATGCACCATTTAACTTGTCCTTTTAAATATATTAAATAAGAATTTTGTATCGTTTTTATTTTTCACTTTAACCTTACAATATAATTTCTCCCACATATTGAGTAATAAATGTATATTATGGCAACCCTATTTACGCACACATGGATAAAAAATTTGACCTGTTTTTGGCGAAGCATTTGTATAGGGACGCTCTATCTATACAATCTAATGTATTAACCCATTGCAGTGTTTGACACAGAGCATAACCAATGATTCGATGTTGCGTTTGAAAATAGATTATTGATGAAGCAGCGCGACAAAGCGGGTTGTTCTTTTGTTGCCAGATTATTAAATTTTATCTAATATAAATAATACATCAAGCGAATTGAAAACGTCTTTTTGGAAAGTAAAGTAACTAAAATAAGTGAGTTATATTTAGAATTTTAACTCATAGTCTTTAATGTTGTGTGTTTTATGGTTTATTTATTATTATTACCATATCATCTGGTGACTGTCTACTGCTAAATATGGGCCTCTCCCATAAGAGGGGTTTTGCTAATAGTAGCCACGCTGGGCAGACGGATTGGCAAACGCACTTAGGCTTTGGTGATGTTTTAAAAGGGAATTCTGCTGCCCATCCCTTGACCATTAAATACCCTTAGTCCCCTTCTATTACACTCATGGGAAAAGAAATGGTAACCTATTCTATGCCAGGACCAGACGACAATGTATTTATTTTATAAGAGACGGGAATTAATGCGATCATTTAGGTAAACTATGATAATTTGCCTAAATTATCTAACGTGGTCGCGAATAGACTACTCATGTAAGATCAGTCCCTAAGATAAGACCTTTATCATCTGATCCCGATGGTCGTGGAGACTGAATACTTTCTAACTGTGACAACTCTAGAGCTAGAGTCGAAAAAATGCACCCTTAGCTGTTTTAATATGAACTATATTACCAGAATGAAATTAAAATCATGTTTGCGCTTAAAGCTGAGAAGATCTTCACGAAATATGCCAAGGTTATCCGTTAACAAAATTTGAATATTTGATGTCTAACGGTTGAAGTGTATGTCTATGGTCTTCTAATGTTGCAAGTGCGAAAAATATTACTTTTTATTTTTAATTTCTATAATGCCTGTACTTGATCAAATACATTAAAAGATAAAATTCTAGCTGGAGAACTGAATGTTTTTCCAATCAAGTATTGGTCGAAAAATACCAAAAAGTTTGAAGTCTCCCATAATAACACGACACGCCATCAAAGGATATTTACTAATGATGTTAAATTTACCTGTGTTGTACACAGGTAAGTCAGCAAGGTCAGTAAGCAGTTTGATAATCTGATACTTATTAAAATTGTAAGCGACGTAGCCCTTTAATATAACCGACAAATTAATATTTGTTGAGCGTAAATAAAGCTGATTATGTTTAGCGATGAAAGGTCATGAATAAACCCCACGCACGGTAACAGTGGGCGCAACTTACCTTAATTGTGAATTATATATCCACAGTAATAAAGATGAATTTTCAATGGCGTAATGGTTGGAGAGATACTGGTTTAATTGTGCATATTATAATTGATCACACGATCTGCTTTGTTGTTTGAAGGACACTGTTCAACTTAGTACAGTAATTATATTCACGCCTAATTTCGAAGGGACTGGCAGAGAAGACCGAGTGCTAAAGACCTCTGTTCTTATATAATAAAAAAATAGTATCATTTCATGGGAGCCAGGATATTTTGTAAAGCTGTAATAATTTATAATAAATTACCAAAACGTATACGAGGATTGACTGAGACAAATGTTTTTAAAAAGAACCTTCATGATATGTTAATAAATAAATGTTATTACAGCCTAAACGAATATATCAATGATAAAGATAAACAGTCATCATTTGTAAAAAATAATGTCTCATATAAATATATTTTGTTTCACTGTATAATTTTAAATGTTATGTTTTATATACTGTTAACTGTTCCATATATTGTACGCTATATATAGCAGGACATGGAGATACTATTTAACTGATGTAACCTTAATTTGACCTATGATCCACAATAAAGACATTCTTCCAAAGAAATATGAGCTTTAGACATATTTGTAAAATGATTAATTAAAGACGTAGCAACGATATGAACATAAATGTTTGAATCAAGACTATTTGTATTTTCTTACTGTAATCAGTTTTGCCAGATTTGGGTATTTTTGTGCAATTCTGGGTAAAAATTTATTTAGTCGCGAAATTTTAGAGACATGAAATTCTAGGAGAAAAGTGAAAATGAGTTTAAAGATATTTGGGTATCTTTTTGGAAATATAGAGTAATAGTTTTAACACTTGTGAAATCTATACAGGTATATAAGTGGATTGGGTCTATTAGAAGAGATCTTTTTCAAAGACAAATGCATCGTATACGATATTTATAAATGTATTATCTATGTCATTTACAAATGCAATAATATATACATATAAGACAAAGAGATTAACTTTTTTTATCCTTAAATTTTAGGTAAATACCAAAACAGTAATAAAGATAAAATTTTGTGGTAAACTTCGTGGAAAACGTATCGATTTGGAGAAAAAAATAAATTTGTCGTTTGTGTCTTTCTCTCTTCGTCCTCTTCATTACTGGAGATCGTGTCCTTGAAAGGTGTCTGTTGCCTCTCTTATGATGTTATTCCAATAATAATTATTGACGTTTGTGTAAAAAAACTAAATTCGCATCTGGCAACCCTGACTGTAATCGTTCTTCCGCACGAATAGTGGATGCTATCGCCGACAACATAATCACTACAGCCTCCTTAGTTACAGAAAACAAAAAGTGGATCCCATAAAGCAGATCTCTTTTTGTTTCCTGTAACTAAGGAGACAGGAATATGGGGTTACATTCAATTTTATGTACGCAATACAGACCAGACAACGTTTCGTGAACAAAATTGTAGACATTGTCGGACCATCTAACCATACTATTAAAAAGGGCATGATTAAAGAATGTATCCCATAAACAAATCCGAATTCAATTGTGACAAAACTGAACTGATTTTGATAATATTTCTATGGGACCAATCTGTAATATCCTTTGAAATAAGAAAAAGGATTTTCCAAATCGGTTTAGAACTTACGAAGTTATGAGGTAACAAAGATAAAAAAATCGACTTGAGCATCTTTCTTGATCTTTTTAAAGTCGGTTGAAAATACGTTTGAAACTCTTTATTCTGATAAAATACCAATAAAAGACGAGACGTTATTTTTAGATAAAGTTTGCGAATATATATTTTTTTTGTTTCTTTTTTTTTAGCTCGTCAGGTTAGATTAGGTTTAGATAATTTCTAACTGCTGGCTGATTGGAAAATATTTTGAAGATAAATTATAGAATGACAAAATTTGCAAATACCTATAACAATATAAGTGAATTTTTTCAAAGATATTTTATAGTTATAGATGTTTTATAGAGTTAATCAATATATTCAAACATTTGATATGGATTCAATTAGGCACACAAACTAACCTATATCTATATTTTATTTTAAACTATGAAGATGGCAAACAAGCATACAGCCCGTCTAATGATTAATAGATACAGTAGTTTATAGACGTCTGCAACATTTGGGATATCACGTGCGAATTGTCGATCCTGAAGAAACATTAAATACACGCTTTTTAAAGAAGACTATAGGGAACACTTCGACAAAGGACTCATTCTACAGTCTGGGCATTTGCGGAATGAAACTCCTTGTATTTGCATGGTAAATTAAAACAGAGAATCCTAATTCTTGGATTTAATCCCAACTCGCGTGGACAAAACCCCAGGATACAGCAAGTTTACCTACAACAACAAGTAGCCTGAAGAGAGAGCAATGACTTGGCCGAACAATGCTGACTGTAGTCGAGAAATTCCAAACTCGGATCCTAGAGGTCTACCATGAAATGGAATACCAAAGTTTCGGACCCAATTTCGTGTTTTCATTCATACCGAAATCGGCTCGTAAATGAAGCTTAACGTTTCGTCCGTCATAAGTCCTACCATTTGTAACAACTTACTTTAACGGCTTAACTTGTAATCCCAGACTATTGCCATTTATACTTATGTAGCCCTGGTCTTCCTGTATATTTTATGATAAGGACCAATATGTTCATCTTCATTTGAGCAGGGAACAATTTTTTTTTAATTATAATCTATTGTTTTTTTTTTCTTATGTTTATTTATTCTTTATTTAACTCTATATCGTCATAGTCGTAGAATACGGACGGATCTGACAAATATTACATATAAAGATCCGTCAGTATTCTACGACTATGACGATATTGCACTAAAACATAAAAATAAACAATGACATATAAACAATTCAACTGAAATACAGTAGCATGGAGTACAGATCAAAATATAACAAAAGTAAGTAACAGTACAAAAGGCGGTCTTACCGCTAGGGTAATCTCTTACAGACAACCTTTGATTAAAGGAGAACATATAGAAGTGGGTAGGTGGCGCAAGGGTGAATTAATAATTTTTACATATAAGGCACAAAAACATCAAATACATATTGTTTATTAGACTACTTATTTTAATTTTGTCCTAGACTTTGTGTTTTCAATTGTGCTACTGGGTGAGTTGCATAGAAATAAATAAATTCTTTCTTTCTTTCTATGTTCTCTATCGTCCATACATAAAAAAAAAGTCTTACATCAACCAAATCGTTTCATCCTTCATATTAGTAGCATAAATTGAGTCGTTATCGTCATTGACATAAGCGATTACACCATTCCATCATCAAATAAAAAAATGCTCACCTGAGGTGTAAAACGGCCTGGCACGTGGCGAGGGTGGTGGCTGTGGTGGATTGTGGTTGTCGTCGCGTGGTGGACTCGCCACCGCACCTTCTGCATTGTTATTAACCGGGGGCCCGGGACCCTCGCCGGCGCCCGCTTCCAACTGCAACTGTAAGGACAGGAGGGAAAGGGATTGTTAGTGATGGAGACTGAGAATCCCATTGCTAGCAATGTCGACTTGCAAGCAGGTCGACCTCCTCGCAGTTCCCCCTAGAAACTATCATGGTAAATTCCTGATGAATTCATCATGATGGGCTAACTGGCCTGTTTTCATTCTCATCTATCACCCTTCACTGGTGCTCCGCCGGCGTATTCTGTTAGCGCAGACAGGGTTACCATTCCATTTTCACCCATCAAAAAAAACTGTAAGGACATAGTTAATTTTAAGATGGCTGATAAACCAGCTGATGGTCCTACTAATGGAAGTCGCCTATATACATAAATAACACTAAGAATGGAAAATGAGAAGGGATTAAGGGATAAGTAATGAGAACTAACAACTCCATTGCTTGCAATATACTTTATCGGGTTGGTCTACACGCGGTTCCGCCTAAAAATCGGCGCTAAATTTATCATGATGGGCCAATAGACCTGCTTCTATCCTTCATTTATATTAACCGTAAAGCAGTTGTGTTTGCATGGCTGTGTTTCGGTTTGAAGGGTGAGATATGGCGTGAATTTATTGGGTACAGAGGAATTACACCTGAGTCCTCAGGAATGGCAACGTATGGGGGGTATCATGGGCGAAACAGTATACTCTGTTATGTCCATGGTACTGCTCATGTCTATGGGCGACGGTTTCCGCTTTCTATCAGGTAGGTCGTTAGCTTATTTTCCATTCTAAGTTGTATAAATAAAAAATACTATAGATATCGCAGGATCTGTAATTCCCACGGTACTCCTCACGCGTTACTAATCCTGAGCACTAAAATGGCATACCTTAATAACTTGTAACTTCATTCCTACACAAAATGAAACTGTCATGCAAGTAAGTAGTTGCTTGACGGCAGCATATTATCGGAATCTCGCCTCTTGCCTTTTCTGAGGAAATAATCTCACATACGCCCACTTTCGTAAATGATATATCAGGGGGCAAGGTCCCCAATTCGTCCGTACTTCTATTTATACTCATATAATACGCAATATCTTCGGCAAATCTGAGCCGACTTTGGCAATTCGTTTTGCAGATTACTGTTTTTGATAAAATTTACTATAATCCAAAAGATATTGGCGTTTTCAGAGACGGAAATTGTTGCAGATTCAATTTAATATGTAAAAATGAACTCTTTTTATTATTGCACGTACCTTTTTTATTTATAGGTGATAATGGAATGGTAACCCCACCCGCGCTATCGGTATACACGGCCGGGCACCAGTGATGGATGATAGATGCGGATGAAACAGGTCAGTTAGCCCATCGTGACGAATTCAACGAGAATTGTTCACGATGGTTTCCAGGGGGTACCACGTGGAGGTTGGCCTGATAGCGCATATTGCTAGCAATGGGGCTGTTAAACTCCATTGCTAACAATCCCTTCCCCCCTATTGCACGTACTGGCCACTTATAATTTTTTACTATTAAAAATGTAATGCATTCTGTTGATTCTATTCAAATTTAGTAAAATGAATGTTGAAAACATAATACGTATTTGATTTATCTCGTCGTCCTTAAATATATGATAGTTTAGCCGCATTTGCATCGCAATTATCGCAGTTTTTAACAGAAATATTTAATACTTAAGTTAACAAGTTGGGGGATTTTCTTTAAGAAGTTGTGGGTATAATGAGCTCGTCACCATCATCATCATTATCACCACATCAGACGTTAGTTGTTCCACTATTGAACACAGACTTCCCCCAAAAACTGTCATAAGGAACAAAGTCGTACCTTACGGCAGTTTACAATTGGGGGAGTTGCCAGTAGCTGCCACGCTTGGTTGGATAAGGGGTAGGAAATAAAAAGTAAGAATAATAATTATCTTATGCTGTGGTACCTTTTATAGTTTTTATACCAAAAAGCCCAAAATTAGACCAAAGGCATGAATATAATTTACCTCTGCAGTACGAGCCTTTTATACTTACATGACGCTATTAGAAATGATTGTAAATTGTGTACCATAAAAAAACCGACTTCAGTCGTGGCAAAACTTCAGGGTCGGCAACGCGCGCATAATACCTCTGGTATTGCAGGCGTTCATAGGCTACGGTAACCGCTTACCATCAGGTTGGCCGTATGCTTGTTTGCCACCTCAGTGGTATAAAAAAAACAATCGATTTTTAAAATCCCCTTCTTGAAGTCGATTGAAAATATTATTAGAATTAGTCATTAATTTCGGTTTCATATTAATTCTGTCACATTACAAGTCGCTGTTTTTTTTTTTAATATAATAACTAATTCAAAATATTTTTGGACAACAAAGGGCCAGTATAAAATATATGATTCGAGTAATTTTTCGACCTCTATAATTCACTGCAGATAATGACGTAGCACGCGACCGTGTCACGCGATCATAAACTTAATGATTGCAATGTATTTTATCGTAAGCCTATTGCAATCTGTTAATATCCAAATACACTAATGACAGTTATACTTTTCAATAGCATTTTATGAACCTCGTACACTTTTCGCATTGTGGAACTGCTTATTTGAATAAAAGATTGACTTTTGTATAAGCTTACATTTTTTTTTTTGATGGGTGAAAATGGAATGGTAACCCCGCCTTCGCTAACGGGATACGCTGGCGGAGCACCAGTGAAGGGTGAGAGATGAGAATGAAAACAGGCCAGTTAGCCCATCATGATGAATTCATCAGGAATTAACCATGATAGTTTCCAGGGGGAACCGCGAGGAGGTCGACCTGGTTGGGTATATTGCTAGCAATGGGATTCCGAGTCTCCATTACTAACAATCCCTTTCTCCCCAATAAGCTTACATATTCTTAGTAAACTTATGGATAAGGCTTTTTATTTTTTTATATTTTATGTCTTATTTTGCGTTTTATGTCTTTTTTTGCGTTGGTTTGGTCATTTGGAGAGGATGGATGAAAGAAGAATTACCAAAGAGATTTATCGAGCAAGAATGAATGCAGATATCGGTAGGGACCGCCCTAGACGGACGTATGTTGACCAAATAGGCGACGCGCTGAAGAAGGGCCAAATTAAAGGTACCCGTAACCGGCGAGCGTGTATGAAAAGATTGATGAATGTGGAAGAAGCGAAAGAGGTTTGTTTGAATCGAAGCATTTGACATTCCATTGTTTCTGCCTAATGGGAGTCAGGCGTGACAGATATGTATGTATGTATGTACGTATATGTCTTATATATTTATGTATACTTTAATGACCAATAAAATTTGGTACAAAAGGACTTAATGCTGTAAGCAGTCTTTACTAGTCAACCTTTAGGATGAGCAGAGATACTCGATGGCAGTTTGAATAATAAAAGAATTTATATTTTAATGTAATATGGTAAATAACACACATAAAACACATTATATTTTAATGTAATAACTCGCGCTCAGCGGGCCGAGGCGCGCAGTCAGGATCGCGCTCTGGTTACAGCCGCTCATGATTAAGGGTCACGAATTGATCACGCAACTAGTAGAGCTTTCTCGATCTAATTACACGTAATTTAAAGCGGTAGTTATTCCATTAACATATAATGAATATGCATTATATATATACATTCATAAAATAAAGTCTTTGTGACAAATTCCTTTAGGTTTAGTTCTCCCCATAGACTGCCATAAATAACAGTTATGTGCTGTCTGCATCCTGCACACACTGCATTTACCCAATATATGTATTATAATATATAGTACAAAAATCTTGATCCTCAAGATATTTACAGATACAAGTTTTTTACAGATAACAGGATTATGTATCGATTATAAAAAAATTGCACAAACTTTGGCATTTCTTATCTAGTTTATTGTATTATTAAAAAAAAATTTAAAAAAAAAACAACACAAATGAAATAAAAAAAAATTATATCAACAAACAAGACAAATAATCAGTATTAAGTAAACTAGTACTTATATTGTAATAATAAGAGAATCCTATTAATAGTCAATATGGTTTAACAATTAGGCAACATTTAAAGCTATTATAAACTATTATAATAAAAAAACATGTCAAATGCAAGGCAAAAAATTATACTGCTTTCCATCGTATTAGAAGGCAAAATAATTCACGGTAAACTTTTAAAACTCTATCCAATTCATCTACCGATTAATTTTTTTTTTTGTTCTTTAAGTTATTACTGTAATAGCGATTTGCAGGGCGACTCCTTTTAATTTATATAACAAGCCCCCAGTTCCGTGTACAGAGTGACAAGCAAAATGGCGGGAAATCGCATTGCGCTAACTTTTGTTCGACAACGAGCACGCAACTCTAGCATCATGTTTCGGACAGACGTCAGCAAAACTAAAATTATAATCGATGGCAGGTAACATTTCTAAACCGTTAGCAAATTAATTAAGGTTGGTTGTTGGCATGGAAATTGCTACATTTAATTCACTGTTCTTTAGTTATATTATTTTTTTATTATCATTGTAAAATAACATTTGACAAATGAAAACTGTGTTTTTTATTCGTAATGACGTAATATCACACTTGCTACCGTTTGCTATTGAAAGTGAGATATTACTTATGATTTTATGATAAAGGCGAGCTCAAAGTCAAGAGTCATTTTAAAAAAAAAAATAATGTACATTCTCTGAAATTATGTATGATTTTTCAAAAACAGCATATAATTTAAATATTAAAAATAGTTAATGTCTATAGTTACATAAAGTATATTTATATCATCATCACCATCATCTCAGCCATTATCCATTCACTGCTAGTATTTTATGAGTAAATTTAGTTCTTTACTTGCAAATTTTCTAGCCTCTCGCTGTTTACGGCCTAGTGGTAGCTAAGAACAAGGAATTACATAGAAAGCATGATAAAATAAAAAATGTAAATCATATGGTTGCTTCCTTTCTTCTTATGCAAATATATTTAGTAAAAAGAGGACGAAAGATGCACCATCAGTTGCTATTTTTCTCAATTCATAGCAGATTAGTGTATAGAAAATGTTTAATATGTCAATTATTTGTGAATGACA